ACGGGGTATATGTGACTTTTGACTGGATGTGGTGCTTGGAGGGGACATTGATGTCATGCTAGGAGCTAATGGGAATTTTCTTTAGGCCCCTGGGAAAGAAAGAGGATGTTGTAATCAAGGAGAAAAGAGGAAGTGGCCATGTGAGTAAGCATCCCTGAGTTCACCTTCTTCCACCTTGAACTACCACTATGAGGTCTGGTAATTTTTCTAGGGCAAAACTCTTTCAAGTACATCCTTTGGATTGAATGAAGAAATCAAAACAAAGAATTTTTGCTATCTGTCTTCCTCCATGGCTGGAGATAAGCCATTCATAAGAAATATTTTGATTCAATTCCTTAATGCATTGTCGATACCATAACCAAAATTACAGATCAGTTCACTTTCAAAAAAAGAAGCAGCACTTAAAGGCAGGGATAAAGGCCTTCAATGCAAGTATCCCTGGCAAGGTGAGTTCAATATTGTGTAATATAAACTACAACTGATTTCTCTGACTTCCAGAAAGAGAAAAGTTTATACTGATATTGCTATAGCAAAATCAATCTCCAGGTATGCTATGTCTGATATGAGGTTTTTGTTCTGTAAAGTCAAAGACTGAATTTTAGGAACAACAGAAATTAACAGAAGAATATACTTATTGAGAGAAAGAAAGCTGCCTGAGACAGAGAAGGGGTCCTGAGCAGGTTGCCAAATACTGTCCTTTCTAGGGATCTTTATAGAGTAAAATCATGTGGTGAAATTAGTTTAAGGAGGGGAAAACTAGGAACTCACAATGCAGATGGGCATAAGATGGGACAGAGCTAAGGTAGCCAATAAGATTATAAGTTCAGGTAAAGTTGATTAAATTGGGAACAAAGAGGGAAGGGAGTCACATAGAAAGCAGGCATTCTTAGGCAGCTGTGACTTCCCTTAGGGGTTTGGGAGGGTGACTACTGAGGTCATCAGGATGACAGGAACTATGTAGAAAGTCAGTCTTTAACAGGAAACATTCCTTTCAATGGTGACTTCTGACTTCCTCAGAGTGCTAGGGAACTATTTAGAATATCAATCCTTAGGATATGGATGTATTTGCTTTTCATTTGTCTTCAGCCTTGGCCCATAGCATGAGGTGTCAGTCTTCCCCATAGTTGCAAGGTATCTGGTCTCCTGCATGGGCTCCTTGGGGGACCTAGCCCTGTCTCCTGCGAATACTATTTAAATAACTCAGGTTCCCTGTAACAGTACTATTTGGAAAATTGATTACAGATGTCTTGTGCTCTATGTGAATGACATGGGGATGACACTGTGCAATGTATATACCAGTGTTGCCCCCTGATTAACATGTTTTGATGTTTAATTTTAGTTGATGTGTTCTTTTTTCCTTGAAATCAAATGGATTTGAAAATTAAAAGCCTGAGGTAAAGCTCTTCAGTACAAACAGTCCTCTGTTGAGCTGAGTTCACCACTGTAGAAGAATGGCAGCTCAAGAAGCTTCTGCACTACAGTCTATCATTTTGGATTCTCTGTTGCAGGGAGGGGTTCCTTTCCCTGTTTATTCTTGACTCAGAAGGAGGGCAGTAGAGCAGGAGTCAATCAGTGATGAAGGGGCAGACTATATGAACTGTCCAATCCGACGGCTATTGCTGGCTGTGACTTCTGTCTCTTCTGATGTCTCATCATGATTTACCTGTTCTGAGTACAATACTGGTAGCAAAATGCTTTTTGGATCTCATTTAGTACTTTTGATGTCCTGTGGCCTGATTAGCAAAGAAGCTGAGAGATCTTGGAGCCATGGAATGGTGAGGTTGTGGATGGGAGCCCAGAGATAGGGTGGATTGGGTGAAACCAGTTACAAGTATTTAGGAGTAGTTCTGGTGTCTGGAGCCTCAGGTATTTAGTTAGCTTCAGCTCCTGAGGTCCTCAAGCATTGGCCATGGGTCATTCACTGTCCCTTTTGCCTCTTGCTGTTGGCAAGAGTGATTTGGGGTCCCCAGAACCCTGGCTCCACTATGACAGCAGCAGATTCAAGTATCATCTTTGAAATTCACTGCTGGCCAGGTAACTCCACAATCTTAGGCATTGGAAAGAGCTTGGGAAGACCCTGACTATGATGCTTTTTGTAGCTTGTAGAGCAGTAATGAGCTAGGTCTGTGCTCTCTTTCCCCAGAGTAGCTGATCTGGAATGTCCAAAGTTCATTAATGCCTGTAATGCAGGGCCTTATAGTCACAATGGCTCAAATTAAACTTTGGCTTTTTTGTATTTATAGTGGTCTCCTATATTTATAGTATGTTCTCATATTTCCATCATCATGACAGGTAGTGGCAAAGTCCTGAGAATTCAGAGATGTGCAGTAATGTGCCTCAGTAGAGGAAGGCTTCCCAAACACCTGGTAAACTCCTGTGTAGTATACAGAACAGTGCAAAATAATTTCTGAACATACTTAATTGTTTATGTGGCACCCCTGCTCACAGACTAGGTTTGTGAGCACAGCCATAGAGTTTTGAAGTTTGAGAACAATGAAGCAAATATGAAAGTGTTATCAAGGACAGGGTAAAAATTTGTTAATGACGAATTCCACAAAGGGCTACCTGTTAAATTATCATCAAAAATGCCAAAATTTAGGCATTTGCAGGGACATATACACATCACACCGTTCTAAACGGAAAGGAATAGGGGTGTCATCTGAATTAAGACCTGATTTAGTAGTTTGGTTGTTCATAGACAGTTTAAATATGGAAATGCTCTGCAATGGACTTTACTAAGTGGTGTAAAGGAGATGCTCTAAATAGAAATTTTGCAGTGATATCAATTGTTTGGCATGAAGGGTTTCCTGCTGAGGATGGATCAGAGGAGCATGGAAAGGATGTGCAAGTGACTGACAGGATGCAGGAAGCCAATAGCAGGACATACAACAGAGAGGGTCTTCACTGAAATTCAGGTAGTTCTTAGAGTAAGTATGAAGTTAAAGTTGGGTTCTGATTGCTTCCTTGAGGTGATCAACACCAGCTCTGGCAACAATCAGTATTTCACATCCTTGCCAACCCATGAATTTTCTGTTCCATACTTGAGATCTAACTTGGATTATCTCTAATTATGCCCCAGTGTCATGAAGGTAAAATGTGGATTTTTTTGTACCAAGGATCAAACTCCTGACCTATGCTTTCCAGGCAGGCGTTCATGCCACTGAGCTAAATACCCAACTATGCAAGTGTTTTCTTTGTTGTATGGCAGATATCCACATTGTTTCTCAGAAAGTGTCAATATTGTTGGAATTTTTCCATATTGTATGGCTATAATTCTTAAAAACAAACCAAAGGTGTCTTATGAATTCTCTTTTCAAGTTTCACTTTGTCTGTGGGGTGTCACAGTCAGGGTTTCTCTATTTTATACAGCTCTGTAACTTAGGATAGCCCAAAATTTAAGGAAGAACTCCTTCACCAGCCTCCCAAGATATATTTCTTATATCTGAATTGAAAGTGATCGCTTGGTGACAGTGAGCTGTAAATTACAGCTTGGGCCTGGTTCCATTTTATATACTTATTTTTTAAAAACAGTATTTTCCACTAACATTTGAGTTATTATTTGTGTACCATATTGGATGTTATTTATGTTTTGTTCTATGAAACCAAATTCATGTTTCAAAATGCTGCTGAAGTATATTAAGAACAAAATACTCACTGGCCTAAATGAGATTTGAAGAGACATTATCTGTAGCCTATCAAAGTGATTGATGAGATTTTTTATTTCTTTTTTTAAATTTTGAAAGTGGTAAATTACAACAGAACAAGGCATAAAAAGGCCGAATAAGATCATACAGTGAAATTGGTACACTACTTCACGACAGGTTACTGGGATAACAGTAATATGTATCACAGCATATTTTATTATCTTTATAATAGTTGTTCTTTTAAACACGTATATTAAAATGAGATGAAATACAGAACATTATAGTACTTATCAAAACAGAATATTGAATAGAGCAATACCATTAATCAGAATAGAGCAAAACAGTAATAAAAAAATATTTGCCTTCAAAGAGATAGTACAAGGAAGTCCCCCTTATTTGTTATGGTCTGCTTTGTTATGGTCTGCTTCCCAGGAGAAGCTCAGATTTCTGGTTCCCTTTGCTAACAGGGGGTGACAGGAGAAGAGGGGTAGGCAAAGGGGATGTTATATTTTAGACCTTCCATCAGTAGGTTCACTATTGCTTAGTAGGGAAACAGGCTGCTTCTTTGGTTTCACAGCATCCTAAGTTCCCACATGGTGTGGCTCTCAGGAGCTGCTGCTGGTTCTCCCTCTGGAAGGGCCGCATTCTGCCAGACTGCTTCCGCTTATCAGGGAGAAGTGGTGCTTGCTTGCCTTCCAAGTGTCCTAAATTCCAGCACGGTATGGATCTCAGGAACTGCTGATGGTTTGCCCCTGGATGGGCCATAGTCTGCCACATTGCCACCACTTATCAGGGAAAGGAGGTCCTTGCTTGGCTTCCCAGTTGATTGATGGGATATTTATCTGCCTCTGTGCTTTGTGGGTGCTGGTCCTGCAGGCTTCTCACTGTGAGCTCTGCTTTAGAGACAGTATACAGGGAATCTTGCCATGACTCAGCACAAGAATCAGTGCTCTTATTTAACTGTTACATTAGCAGTGAGTTGCAATCTATCATCAAACTTGCTGTCTTCAAAAATGTGTATATATACAAAATTAATGAGCAAAACATGGATTTAAATTTGAAGAAATCAGTCTTCATTCAGCTGTTTTGTTTGGTTTTATTAGTTTAGTTTTTTTTTTTGTTTTATTGAGACAAGCTTTCTGTACGTATATCAGCTGGATTTGAACACCCTATGGAGCCTAGAATTGCCCGAACTCATGGAAGCCATCCTGTCTCAGGCTTTTGAGTGCTGGGATTATAGATATGCTCCACCACACGTTGCTTTTAATTCAGATTTGTAGGAGAGAATTTAAGATATCACAAACCTGGTGTCTCAACATTTGTGTGAGAAATATATATATGATCCTTTAGGAGGTGATGACCTTTGAGGATGTGGTGGTGAAGTTCAGCAATGAAGAGTGGAGTTTACTGAGTCCATCCCAAAAGAACCTCTACAGAGATGTGATGGGCGAAACCTTTAGGAACATGACTGCAATTGGTAAGGACAAAATACTTTTGTCACTCATGCTGTCAGAATGTTTTATGTCACTCATTAGTGCTGTTTCATTAAAAACAATGTGAAAATATTTTTAAAAATAGCTCAGACCTGGACACATTATATCATAACTCTAAACAAAATCTAATAATTTGTATGTATTATTCTAATGAGCGCTGGTATTTCTATGTCTACAATTCAGGAGGACTTGGGGATATCCAAGAAGCTGAAAAAGAATGCAAAATTTATTGGAGATACTTAAGGTAATTCGCACTCACAAGGAGAAGGAATGTTCATGAGTAATTAGTGAGTCAGTAGAAAAATGACAACCAAACAAATGAGGCACCATTCAATTTATTGTCAGTAATATTCTCCGAAGTCGTATAAGCTAGGGTATGTATGATGAGGGAATTAAATCATGAAAATGTATGACATTGCATATAGATGTGTATGAAAGGCATACACTTTGAGTTATGACATTCTCCCTTTAGTTTTTCTACCCATATATACATGTGAATACAACACATTCATTATCTAAAAATGTCTATGATTGCAATAGAATTTGAAATAAAACAGAGTGCTTATGTTTCCAAGCCATGCTCTAAAGAATCAGCCATTCTGAGTAAAATTCTTAGAAGGCTGGTGAAATGTTAAGTGCACTCATTCTGAATATCAGTGTGCATTTGTCTCTAGAAATTGATCCCCTCATACTTGTCCTGGATGTATTTTTAAAAATTCAAAATGCACATAAAATACTGATACATGCTTGCTCATATACAAATCAGATCGAGTTATAATAGATCAGGCCTTGAAGAAGCTTAGCTATCTATCACTGGATTTGTGGAGAAGGAAAATGTTAATAGACTCTCTGTGATTGTGCATTCTTGTAAATCCAGCACACTAGGAATCAGATTTTGCAGAATGGCAAAGTCAAGTTCAAACTTCACAGCTTAATGATCAGTGAAAATCTCTTAAATCAGATTTAAAAAGCTATAGATTTCATGCTAATAGCTGTTCTTCATTCCAAGCATGGAAAAGAAAAAAAATTGTGTTATATAATGTCAAAAAATAAATAATATAATGTCATTTGCAATAAGAAATTGGTGGTTCTTTCTCCCATCAATTCAGTGAAATAGCTCAGATATAAAACCTAAAATGTCATAGGGTTTCTTTTAGATGAGAAACCAAAATATAAATTGTGGAATGAAATGAAAGAGAGTTAATAGAGAAAAGTAAGACTGACCATATGGAAAAGGGACCTACATGTTAAGGACAGAAGGGAGATTGTGATGGGGAAACATACCAGAATGTTCTATATATGATACACATATGTACCCATGCCCAAAGTGAAGCTAAAGATTCTGCATTTCAAAAGGTACCAAATTTTAAGATTTCCAAGTGTGTACCAGTCTTTTGGGAATGGTTGTTTTCAAAATGTCTTATAAGGCCATTCTGTTACTTCCTGGTCAGAATTTTTTAGGCAGGAAAGTCACAATGTGAGTACAGTGAGGGTCTCAAACTACAATCAACCTATAAGCTTATAGCTGCTTAACTAATATTATTAATCAGGGGAACAAGTCAGCGAGAAAAGGTATGTGGAAAGAGCCAAGGCATTTTGTGGGAACAATAGGCCAGTTGTTCTGGTCATTGAGTATGGTAATTGATGCATATCTGGACTTCCTGGAGGAGGTGGTGGTAACTGTAGTACATTTCAAGCTGTTGTTTTTCTGTTCAGGAGCATGTAGACATGGTCACTGCATCTTCACCTTCAGGTCTGCCTTTCTAAAGCTGTGCCTGTAGCAGTGATTGTTGTATTTAGTTTTTTGCATTGACTCCTTGAGGTTCCATTTCCTCTCTGATTGTATATCAATTTCTGTCTATATTGACATCCTTTGCTGAAATCACAATACTATTTGAATGGATAAGATGATGTTTATACATTTAAAAATATTCATTAATACAGGCCAGGGCTTTAGCTCAGCAGGCAGAAACGCCTTCCTGGGAAGTGCTAGGTTGTAACTTTGATACGTCATACCTAAAAAAAAATGTAATATAAATTGCAAAGAAAGAAAATAATTTCATTCGTGAAAATGTAGGTTTACAAAGTCTATAACTAAATAGGTCAATGGCAAATTAAACCTTGTTAATAGTTATATTTAGTATCTAAAGTTGTTGGGGCTGGGGATTGAGCTCAGTGACACAAGCAGCTGCCTGGAGAGCCAAAAGTTATGAGTGCAAACCCTCATACAAAAAAAAATTCACAGTTTTCAAGATGCAGGGCTATGAGCACATTTATTGAAACTGATACGTGTTATTTAATAGGCTCTATGTTTCTTTTGTGGTCTAAGAAATACCTGAAGATAACATGGCAATTACAGTGAATGATGTAATGTCCCCTATAAGATTGCTATTTTCTGAGTTGTTTTTATTTTTTGTTTTCCCACATACTTGAAAGTTAAAAATGTTGGCTAATGCTGGGTCAAAAAACTGTGATAATCATTTTTTTCAATTTAATGGTATACTTCCCTATATCCATTAAGAACATTTTATTTGCTACAATTACTCCAAGTCAAATTGGTAAACAATTCTTAAAGTTACAGGCAGCTGAGTTAGTTAGAAATACAGGCAGCCACACCATGATATAGTGGAATGAAACTCCTGACCTTATATGTCTGGTATAAGTTTGTGTTCTCTAAAATGAAAGAATGAATTTTAGGAACAACAGAGTTGAAGAGCAGAGTATATTTATTGAGAGAAAGAAAGTGAAAGTATTTTTCTCTAAATAGGATATTTTCAAAGTGGGAAGTGGAATCAGTGGACTTTACCTTGAAGTCACTTTCCTCTCTCCTATTCAACCTACTGTGGCCAGAAAAGAATCTCAATCAGCTACTTGCATATCACCAATGCCACCTTTAAGCACCACCCAAGTCAAAAACTATATGTATGCCTCCCACACATTTCCAGAAGAAAAAGCCAGATGCCCAGTGGTCCTGGGGTTCTATCATCTTAGAATAAAGGCCATTTTGAATTAATATTCTCTTCTTTACTACACCAAAAATCCTATCAGAAAGTTTCTGTCTGAGAGAAACAGAAGGGGTGCTGAGCTAGTAGCAAAGGACTCTGTCTTTTCTAAGGACTTTATAGAATAAAATCATGTAGTGAGATAGGTTTAAAATGGGTTAGATTACTGAGGTTACTGAGGAGATAAATTAGCACAATAGAGAAGCAGAATATAAGAAATGTAAACGTGGTCCTTTACTTAAAGAATATGGAGAGGAGCCCACAGCCACCAAGACTATGAGGCTATGCAGGGCCTCATAGCCACAATGGCTCAACTTAAACTTCAGCTTTTTTTTTTCCAACTGACTAGGGGGATATGGCGTATATGTGACTTTTGACTGCATGTGGTGCTTGGAAGGGACATTTATGTCATGCCAGGAGCTGATGGGAATTTTCTTTAGGACCCTGGGGAGGAAAGAGGAAGTTGTATTCAAGGGGAAAAGAGGAAGTGACCATATGAGTAAGCACCCCTGATTTCACATTCTTCCACCTTGAACAACCACCATGAGGTCCTGTAATTGTTTCTAGGGTAAAACTCTTTCAAATACATCCTTTGGTTTGAATGAAGAAATCAAAACAAAGAATTTTTGCTCTCTGACTGCCTCCACAGCTGGTGATAAACCATTCATAAGAAATTTTGAGTCATTTCCTTAATGCATTTTAGATTCCATAGCCAAAATTACAGATTAGTTGACTTTCAGAAAAAGAAGCAGCACTTAAAGGCAGGGATAAAGGCCTTCAATGCAATTATACCTGGCAAGGTGAGATCAACATTGTGTGATACAAACTTTAACTGATTTCTCTGACTTCAAGCAAGAAAAATGTTTATATCGATATTGCTATAGCAGAATGAATCTCCCAGTCTACTATGTTTAATGTGAGGGTTTTTTTTTTCTGTAAAGTCAAAGAATGAATTTTAGGAACAACAGAGGTTAAGATAAGAATGTACTTATTGAGAGAAAGAAAGCTGCCTCAGAGAGCGAAGGAGTCCTGAGCAGGTTGCCAAACATTGTCCTTTCCAGGGAACTTTATAGAGTAAAATCATGTGGTGAAATGAGTTTAAGGTGGGGAAAACTAGAAACTCACAATGTAAATGGGTATAAGATGGGAAAGAGCTATGGTACCCAATAGGATTATTAAGTTCAGGTAAAGCTGATTAAATTGGGAACAAAGGGGGAAGGGAGTCACATAGAAAGCAGGCATTCTTAGGCAGCTGTGACTCTTCCCTTAGGGGTTTGGGAGGGTGACTTCTGAGTTCCTCAGTATGATAGGAACTATTTAGAATGTCACTCTTTAGGATAAGGATACATTTCTTTGAATGGTGACTCCTGACTTCCTCAGAGTGCTAGGGAACTATTTAGAATATCTATCCTTAGGATATGGAAGAATTTGCTTATCATTGTCTTGAGCCTTGGCCCATAGCATGAGGTGTCAGTCTTCCCCATAGTTGTAAGGTATCTGGTCTCCTGCATGGGCTCCTTGGAGGACCTAGCCCTGGTTCATGCCAAGAGTATTTAAGTAACTCAGGTGCCTGTAACAGACTGTTTGGAAAACTGATTAGAGATGTCTTGTGGTCTGGGTGAATGATCTGGGGATGACAATGTGCAATGTATATACCAGTTTTGCTCCCTGATTGACATGTTTTGAAATTCAATTTTACTTGATGCGCTCTTTTTTCCTTGAAATAAAACGGATTTGAAAATTAAAAGCCTGAGGTAAAGCTCTTCAGTACAAACACTGCTCTGTCGAGCTGAGTTCACCACTGTAGAAGAATGACAGCTCCAGAAGTCTCTGCAATACAGTCTATCATTTGGGACCCTCGCTTTCAGGGAGGGGTTCCTTTCCCTGTTTATTCTTGACTCAGATGGAGAGCAGTAGAGCAGGACGCAATCAGTGATGAAGGGGCAGGCTATATGAACTGTCCAATCAGGCGGGCCATTGCTGGATGTGACTTCTGTCTCTTCTGTTGTCTCAGCATGATTTATCTGTTCTGAGTACAATAGTGGTAGCAAAATGCTTGCTGGATCTCATTTAGTACATTCGATGTCCTGTGGCTTGATTAGCAAAGAACCTGAGAGATCCTGGAACCATGGAATAGTGAGGTTGTGGATGGAAGCCCAGAAATAGGGTGGATTGGGTGAAACCAGTTACAAGTATTTAGGAGTAGTTCCGGTGTCTGGAGCCCCAGGTATTTAGTTAGCTTCAGCTTCTGAGGTCCTGCAGCATTGCCCATGGGTCATTCACTGTCCCTTTTGCCTCTTGCTATTGGCAAGGGTGATTTGGGGGTCCCCAAACCCCTGGCTTCACTATGAGAGCAGCAGACTCAAGTATCATCTTTCAAATTCATTGCTAGCCTGATAACTCCACCATCTTAGGCATTGGAAGGAGCTTGGGAAGACCCTGACCATGATGATTTGTAGCTTGTAGAGCAGTAATGAACTTGGTCTCTGCTCACTTTCCTCAGAGTAGCAGATCTGGAATGTCTGGAATTTATTAATGTCTGTAATATGTGGCCTCATGGCCACAATGGCTCAACTTAAACTTGGCTTTTTTGTATTTATAGTGATCTCCTTAAATTATAGTATGTTCTCATATTTCCATCCTCAGGACAGGTAGTGACAAAGGTCCTGAGAATTCAGGGATTTGTAGTAGTGTGCCTCAGTGGAGAAAGGCTTCCCAAACACCTGGTGAACTATGCTTTCCAGGCAGGCGTTCATGCCACTGAGCTAAATACCCAACTATGAAAGTGTTTTCTGTGTAGTATGGAAGATATCCACATTGTTCCTCAGAAAGTGTTGTGTGTTGTTGGAATTTTTCTGTATTGTGTGCCTATAATGTTTTAAAACAAACCAAAGATATCTTATGCAGTCTCTTTTTAAGTTTCACTTTGTTCGGTGTCTCAGTCAGGGATTGTCTATTTTAGACAGCTCTGTAACTTAGGATAGCCCCAAATTCAAGGAAGAACTCCTTCACCAGCCTCCCAAGATATATTTCTTATATTTGAATTGAAAGTGATCACTTGGTGACAGTGAGGTATAATTTACAGCTTGGGCCTGGTTTCATTTTATATACATATTTTAAAAATACAGCCATTTTCCACTAACACTTGAGTTATTATTTATGTACCATATTTGATGTTATTTATGTTTTGTTCTATGAAAGCAAATTAATGTTTCAAAATTCTGCTTAAGTATATTAAGAACAAAGTACTCATTGGCTTAAATGAGATTTGAAGAGACATCATCTGTAGTCTATCAAAGTGATTGATAAGATTTTTTTTGAATATTGAAATTGGTAAAATACAACAGAACAAGGCAGCATAAGGCCAACTAAGATCACACAGTGAAATTGGTACCCAACTTCACAACGGGTTACTGGGATAACAGTAATAGGTATCACAGTATATTTTGTTATCTTTGTAATAGTTGTTCTTTAATCACATATATCAAAGTGACATTAAATACAGAATGTTATAGAACTTATCCAAACAGAATATTGAATGGAGCAGTACCATTAATCAGAATAGAGTGAAACAATAATAAAAACATTTTCCTTAAAAGAAATAGTAGAAGGAAGTCCCCCTTATTTGCTATGGTCAACTTCCCAGGAGATGCTCAGATTTCTGGTTCCCATTTGCTAATGGTGGGGGGTGACAGGAGAAGAGGGATAGGGAAGTGGGATGTTTGATTCTAGGTGGTGCATCAGTAGGTTCACTATTGCTTACTAGCGAGACAGGCTGGTTGTTTGGTTTCACAGCATTCTAAGTTTCAACATAGCATGGATCTCAGGAGCTGCTGCTGGTTCTCCCCCTGGAAGGGCTGCAGTCTGACAGACTGCCACCACTTACCAGGGAGAAGTGGTGCTTGACTGGCTTCCCAGTGTCCTAAATTCCAGGTTGGCATGGATCTCAGGAGCTGCTGCTGGTTTTCCCCCTGGAAGGGCTGCAATTTGCCAAACCACCACTGCTGACCGGGGAGGGGAGGTGCTTGCTTGACTTTCCAGTCAATTGATGGGATATTTATCTGCCTCTGTGCTTTGTGGTTGCTGGTCCTGCAGGCTTCTCACTGTGAGCTCTGCTTTAGAGACAGTGCAAGGGGAATCTTGCCATGATTCAGCACAAGAATCAGTGTTCCTATTTGGCTGTTACATTAGCAGTGAGTTGCAATCTAGCATCAAATTTGCTGTCTTCAGAAATGTGTATATACACAAAATTAATGACCAAGACATGGATTAAAATTCGAAGAAATCAGTCTTCATTCAGCTGTTTTGTTTGGTTGTATTTGTTTAGTTTAGTTTTGTTTTATTGAGACAAGCTTTCTGTATGTATATCAGGTGGATTTGAACACCCTATGGAGCCTAGAATTGCCCTGACCACACTGATGCCATCCTGTCTCAGCCTTTTGAGTGCTGGGATTATAGATATGCACCACCACACTTTGCTTTTGATTCAGATTTCTAGGAGAAAATTTAAGATATCCCAAACCTGGGGTCTCAACATTCCATTGAGAAATATATGTATGATCCTTTAGGAGGTGGTGACCTTTGAGGATGTGGTCGTGAACTTCAGCAGTGAGGAGTGGACTTTGCTGAGTCCATCCCAAAAGAAGCTCTACAGAGATGTGATGGGCGAAATCTTTAGGAACATGACTCTGATAGGTAAGGATAAAATCTTTTTGCCCCTCATGCTGTCAGAATATTGTTTCTTGCTCATTAGTGATGTTTCATGAAAAAGAATATGAAAATATTTTTAAAAATAGCTCAGACCTGGACACATTATATCATAAATCTAAACAAAACCTATTAATTTGTATGTATTACTCTAAAGAGTCCTGGTATTTCTATGTCTACAATTCAGGAGGACTCGGGGATATCCAGGAAGCTGAAAAAGAAGGCAAAATTTACTGGAGCTACTTAAGGTAATTCGCACTCACAAGGAGAGGAATGTTCCTCAGTAATTAGTGAGTAGCAGAAAAATGACAACCAAAGAAAGAGACACCATTCAATTTAATGTCAGTAATATTCTCTGAAGATGTATAAGCTAGTGTATATATGAGCGAATTAAATCATGAAAATGTATGACATTGCATATAGATGAATACGAAAATAATACACTTTGAGTTGCCTTCAGTTTTTCTACCCATGTCTACATGTGAATATAACACATTCATTATCAAACAATTGCTAAGTTTGCAATAGAATTTGAAAGAAAACTGAGTGCTCATGTTTCCAAGACATTCTGTAGAGAATCAGCCATTCTGATTAACATTCTTAGTAGCCTGGTGGAATGTTATTGCACTCATTTTGAATATCAGTATGCAGTTGTCTCTAGAAATTGATCCCCTCACACTTGTCCTGGATATTTTTAAAATCTCAAATCTGCATAAAATACTGATACATGCTTACTCACATACAAAGCAGATTAAGTTATAACAGATCAGGCCTTGAAGCTTATCTATCTATCACTGGATTTGTGGAGAAGGAAAATATTAATAGACTCTCTGTGATTGTGCATTCTTGTAAACCCAGCACAATAGGAATCAGATTTTGCAGAATGGCAATTTCAAGTTTAAACTTCACAGCTTAATGATCAGCAAAAATCTCTTAAAATAGATTTTTAAAAAGCTACAGATTTTATGCTAATACCTGTTGTTCATTCCCAGCCCAGAAAAGAAAAAAATGTGTTATATAATGTCAAAAAATAAATAATGTAATGTCATTTGCCATAAGAAATAGATGGGTCTTTCACCCATCAATTCAGTGAAATAGCTCAGCTATAAAACATAAAAGGTCACAGGGTTTCTTTTAGATGAGACACCAAAATATAAATTGTGGAATGTAATGAAAGAAAGTTGATAGGGAAAAGTAAGACTGACAATATGGAAAAGGGAACTACAGGTTAAGGACAGAAGGGAGATTGGAATGGGGAAACATATCAGAATAATCTGTATGTGATACACATATGTGCCCATGCCCAAAGTGAAGCTAAAGATTCTGCATTTCAAAGTACCAATTTTTAAGATTTCTAAATGTATGCCAGTCTTTTGGGAATGGTTGTTTTCAACATATCTTACAAGGCCATTCTGTTGCTTCATGGTCAGAATTTCTTAGCAGGCATTAAAAACAGAACTTGACATCAATGCAGTCATTAAACTGAGACCCATTTCACTGTGAATCTTTCTTTTTTTTCTTTAATGTAAGGAAAGACTAAAAAAAACAAAATAAGTAGAAATAATACCACTTTCAAAGTGAAAATAAACAGTAAGAAATCTAAAGACAATGATTACATATGCTGCTCATAGAAATAGTTAATGAAACACAAACTGAAACATATGAAGTGGGGATTCAAACAGCGAGACTGCAAACAGTTTTGTTCAACTCTTCAATAAAAACTTTGTAATATGGTTATTAATCCTATATGTGATTTTTTTTTTACAGAAATGACAAGCTAGGGAAATCCTATGGACATACATCTTGGAATCAGTGTAAAGAAGTATTCCTTTGTACTGCAGAAGGTAATGTGAATGTGAAAGAAGCAGAAACACACCACAAAGTTCAGATCCATGAAAAATATTGCAGTGGAGAGAAATCCTATGCATGTCAGCAATGTGGAAAAGGGTTCACAAAATCTGGACATTGTAAGCAACATGAAAGAATTCACACTGGAGAGAAACCCTATGTATGTAAGCAATGTGGGAAAGGTTTTACCTGACATGAACATTGTAAGCAACATGAAAGAATTCACACTGGCGAGAAACCATATGTATGTAAGCAATGTGGGAAAGCTTTTACCCAACATAGAAGTTGTAAGCAACATGAAAGAATTCACACTGGAGAGAAACCATATGTATGTAAGCAATGTGGGAAAGCTTTTATCACATGAGCAGGTTGTAAAAATCATGAAAGCTTTCACACTGGAGAGAAACCCTATGTATGTAAGCAATGTGGGAAAGGTTTTACCAAACGTGGAAATTGTAAGCAACATGAAAGAATTCACACTGGCGATAAACCATATGTATGTAAGCAATGTGGGAAAGGTTTTACCGAAAATGCACATTGTAAGAAACATGAAAGAATTCACACTGGAGAGAAACCATATGTATGTCAGCAATGTGGGAAAGCTTTTAACACACGGGCAGGTTGTAAAAAACATGAAAGGCTTCATACTGGAGAGAAACCCTATGTATGTAAGCAATGTGGGAAAGCTTTTACCCAACATAGAAGTTGTAAGCAACATGAAAGAATTCACACTGGAGAGAAACCATATGTATGTAAGCAATGTGGGAAAGCTTTTATCACACGGGCAGGTTGTAAAAAACATGAAAGGCTTCATACTGGAGAGAAACCCTATGTATGTAAGCAATGTGGGAAAGGTTTTACCCAATGTGGAAATTGTAAGCAACATGAAAGAATTCACTCTGGCGATAAACCATATGTATGTAAGCAATGTGGGAAAGGTTTTACCGAAAATGCACATTGTAAGAAACATGAAAGAATTCACACTGGAGAGAAACCATATGTATGTCAGCAATGTGGGAAAGCTTTTAACACACGGGCAGGTTGTAAAAAACATGAAAGGCTTCATACTGGAGAGAAACCCTATGTATGTAAGCAATGTGGGAAAGCTTTTACCCAACATAGAAGTTGTAAGCAACATGAAAGAATTCACACTGGAGAGAAACCATATTTATGTAAGCAATGTGGGAAAGCTTTATCACACGGGCAGGTTGTAAAAAACATGAAAGGCTTCATACTGGAGAGAAACCCTATGTATGTAAGCAATGTGGGAAAGGTTTTACCCAATGTGGAAATTGTAAGCAACATGAAAGAATTCACTCTGGCGATAAACCATATGTATGTAAGCAATGTGGGAAAGGTTTTACCGAAAATGCACATTGTAAGAAACATGAAAGAATTCACACTGGAGAGAAACCATATGTATGTCAGCAATGTGGGAAAGCTTTTAACACACGGGCAGGTTGTAAAAAGCATGAAAGGCTTCATACTGGAGAGAAACCCTATGTATGTAAGCAATGTGGGAAAGGTTTTACCTGACATGAACATTGTAAGCAACATGAAAGAATTCACACTGGCGAGAACCCATATGTATGTAAGCAATGTGGGAAAGGTTTTACCCGACATGAACATTGTAAGCAACATGAAAGAATTCACACTGGCGAGAAACCATATGTATGTAAGCAATGTGGGAAAGATTTTACCCGACATGGACACTGTAAGCGACATGAAAGTTCACACTTAAGATAAAACCAGTGTATATAAGCATCATGAAAATTTTTTGAGCACAAGAACATATTGCGTAATGTGTGAAAAACTTCACACTGGGCAGAAAACTTATATATGTAAGGAATGTGGGAAAGGTTTCCGCAGAAATGTTCATTGTCCAATACATAAAAAAATTTACACTGTTGAGAAACCCTGTTTATGTGAAGAATGTGGGAAAGCTTTCACCACATATGGATTTTGTAAAATACATTAATGACTCCACACTGGTGAGAAACCCTATGTATATAACAATGTGGCAAAGCTTTTACCACATACAGTCATTGCAAAACACATGAAACAATTCACACTGGGGATGAACTACTGGCTACGTAAGCAAGTGGAGACACTTTCAGCAGCCAGATTGTAAGTGAAATACATGAAGAAGCTCACACAAGAGATAAATCCTATGTGTTATGGGAATACTCTTAGTACACATGATCATTGTTACATATCTGAAAGAGCTCACTGGATCATATGTGTATTAACAGTGTGAGAAATATGGCAATCCATATTTCTTGTTAAAAACATAGAAAAAGCAGCACTCTTCAGACAGTTTACATCTAAGTTTACTTTAACATTCCAAGTAGACCTGAAGAAATAATCAACACAGAAGTTAGATGTCAAACATGGCATCTTGTAATTAAACATGGTAAACTGAAATGGGCGTTTCACTTTCAAGTATGGATAGTGCCCATGTACTTAATACATTTGTCTTTAAACCTTAATTTTTATATTTTTGGTGAATAATTATTAAAGAAAAAAACCAAAAAATGTAGAAATAATACAGAAGTTCTAAAAAATAAACAATAAGAAATCACTAGTTGATTAGTTACATATTGTCATCTTAGAAGTAATTGTTCAAGTTACAAAATTAAAACATACAAAGTGATAGTCAAATAATGACACTGCAAACGGTTCACCTCAGTGATCCAACAGGAACTTATTATTATGCTTATATGTTCTACAAACTTGTTTTTTATCTTAAAGATGGTAAGATTAAACATGACAAACCAGAACAGTTCATAGGGAAACAAGGAAACACAGGTTTCAAAGCAAGTCCACTGAGATGTTCATTTTCTATCTTACTGTCTCTAGTTTTCTTCAGAATAGTTGTTCCCATATTCACATGCATTGAATATATACTGAACATTATAGAACTAATCAAATAATTACAGGATGATGTAGGCTTTTGTGATTTTCAAGACTGATTTTGGAGAAGTTGATAATGATTACCATAATGTGTCTCATTCTCTTCATAGTAGACATCTTTATTTTTATGTATGCTGAAATTGAACATAAGAGACTAAACTAATATCACTCTGAACAGTGAATAATAGTATCCTGAGGAGGAGAAAGGTGAGGAATTGCCTAAATAAAGAAGGCAGAGCACATTGTTAAAAGTGTATCAGGATTTAAAAGCTACAGTAGTTCTGTTGCTCTGTTTAGTTTGATTATATTTTGTTATGGTCTGTATACTCATATTAGATTTGAGGGCACAGAGAGATAACGCAAAAGTGGCAGGTTATAGCATGATGGTAATTGTCCTTAATTTCCTATTAACTAAAACTGAAACCCTGTATTACTTACATTGTCTTGCTATGACTGATGTTATTTGAAGCTGGTTTGTTTGAATGTTATTTGGCCTTGACTGATTTTATTCACATTTGGTATGCTTGCTGGTATCAAGTCCAAGAGTAGAGGCAACTACTCTGAAGATGATAAGATGTCAAAGATATATATTGGGGGGCTGGGGATTTAGCTCAGTGGCTTAAGCCCCTGCCTGGCAAGTGTGAGGTTGTCAGTTTGATCCCCAGTACCAAAAAAGTACATAAATAAAAGATATAAATTCCAGGTTTATTTTTTTTATTTAAGGAGAAAAAAACATTAAAAAAAAGCAGTAAAAGGGTACAAATAATACAGAATTTCAAGAAAAAAATACAGTAAGAAATCACTAGTTAATAGGTTACATACTGTCTTCTTAGAAACAGTTGTCCAAATTATAAAATTAAAGCATATAAAGTGAACATTCCTACAGCAAGAGTGCAGACAGTTCTGTTCAATGATCCAACAAAAGCTCAGTAATATGTTTTTCCTTCCTACACACTCAAACAGGCACTTATATCCCTTAGACCACCTTCCTTTCCTCTCTTCTTCATAATAACAATTACACTTTTGGGTTTTTTTTACTCCCATAGTTCTTATTACTCTTTTTGAAGAGAATAAAACCTCAAGTGAGTTAACAAAACAGAGTTGGTTAGAACATAAGGATGGGCATAAGTACTTGAAGCAAAAATAGAATATCAGGTGATTAAAAATGGTTACCACTGTTCCTCTTGCTATTTTTAAAAAGAGTTCCCTATATCATCAGGTATAATAGAACTGATCAAAACAGTACAGAACAAGACCAATAAAATCTACACTGGAGACCTTACAGAATTTCAAAAGAAGATAATAGTCAAACGATAATAGGCATCATAGTAAATCTTATTGCCTACAAAGTGGTTGCCTATACCCTCAAATTTGATACTATCAAACAAAATAGAATATAGTAAAATCAGGCAGAACAAGATGGGGAGAGCCATACTGGGGTTCAAATCAGGGTAATAGGAAAACAAAAAAAGTTACTATAATATATCCTGCTATTTTTAAATTTAGTTTTCCTTTAATTGAAAAAGAATAAGAAAAAATGGAATAATTTTTTTAAAAGGGTTGAGATCGAGAAAAAAGAGACATTGTAATAGAACAACACGGGTCAGAACTGAACAATTAAAGCATCATTTTGTTTCACCACCAGGTAATCTAACATAATAGTAGTCACCATAGTGCCTCTTTCCTTGAATTATTTGAGTATAACTTCGTGTACTATAGAATCAATCACATCAAGACAGTGTGAAGCCATTCAAGAGAATGAAAGAATTACAGGGTATTTAGAGCCAATTAACAGAAAATGAACAACGATTTCTATATTATCTCTTTGCCTGTAAAAATTTTATACTATCACACTAAAATATATTAAGATACAACATGTTAAAATCAGTGGAAACATGTACAATAACTTGATGGGAGTTCTAAAGAAGATGATATTAAATCAGCACTAGCTTTTATGATGTGTTATTTTCTTCAGAATAGCTATTTACACTATCACGGATACTAAAATCAAAAAACCCAGGGTAAAACCATTGCACTTAATGAGTAAAAATGTTATATGGATTCACACCAATATGATTGGGTATCATGATTACCACATACTTCTATGTATTATCATTTCTTATACTATGGAATATATTTGGTATTTATACATGTAAGTTTGATTTATTTCACTTATGAGTATGGTCTCAGTCTGCATCCATTTATTCATATGTCAATGTGATCATTCTTTATAGCTGAGTAGTACTCCATTGTATAAAAACACCATAACTTTTTTATCCATTCCTCAGTTGATGG